TAAAATCAGGCTTTGTAATCAAGTTTTACAAAGCCTGATTTTAGAAAAATAAAGTTTTTCTATTGCAGTGCATTTTTTTCAATAGACAACATAAAATTTTAGCTGTGAGTTTTTAAGTGTAAAGTTGTTGTTTTTTTATCAGAATTGTGTTTTAATCTGCATCATTTAGTAAACAAACTTAATGTTGGGTGAAATAAAGTACAGATTATTCCTGTGCAAAGTCGTGATAGGTCTACTATCACACCAAAATTTGCCTTTTTAATTTGCATAGGATTTCCTCACATTTGCCTCCATTTTCTGCAGGAGTTCAGCTTTACTTCGAACATGTTTAAGAAGAACCAGGAAGTTTGTGACCTGCTGAAGACACAAACAATTTTATTCATGTTTCTAAAACAAATTGTCTGAAAAAATAAATGGTTTCACCTTTGCACTCGTATACTCTACAGGAAAAAAAAATACTTTCAAATGCCACTCATTTAATTTAAGATAAAAACATACAGATTTTTTTTTTGTACATTAAACTTTTTTACAAAAAGTATTCCACACTTTCTATAAATGTTGTTTTCTAACTAATTCCTACATAAGCAGTTTATAGTATCTCAGTCAAAATACACATTAAAAATTGGATATTGTAACGTAAATATTGTACAAAATGAAGACATAAGTTGCTTCATACAGATTTTAGATAAAAGCTCCGTTCTATTTCAGCTTACACAGTTTTTGAGTTTGCGACGCTCTGATGCCGTCACTTGCTGCAGATACAGACGACTTCCTGACATTTTGTAAATGTTTAATTCAATTGAACAAATAAAGGTAATAAAGTAACTCAAAATTATTGCTGTCACATTTTTAAAGCTCTTCATAATCATAAAAAGCTCAGTCAGTTGTAGCTTTGAAACGAGTGAACAGCTATCACATGGTAGCAATTTATAACGTCTACAGTCAGAAACTGTTTTTACCCCTGTTTTTGTGTTTTTGCCCCTGTTTATGCTCCTGTTTTTGTGTTTTTGCTCCTGTTTTTGCCCCTGTTTATGCTCCTGTTTTTACCCCTGTTTTTGTGTTTTTGCCCATTTTTGCTCCTGTTTTTGTGTTTTTGCTCCTGTTTTTGTGTTTTTACCCCTGTTTTGCCCCTGTTTTCACCCGTGTTTTTGCCCCTGTTTTCACCCGTGTTTTTGCCCCTGTTTAGCCCCTGTTTATACCGCTGTTTTTGTGTTTTTGCTCCTGTTTTTGCCCCTATTTTTACTGCTGTTTTTGTGTTTTTATCCCTGTTTTTGCCCCTGTTTTTGCCCCTGCTCCCCTTCCTGTTGCCTCTGGATCAGATGTGACTCTACTGAGGACGGGAGCAGGGTGTGGCTTCATTCGTTTAATATGAAAGCCGTTGGTCAGTTTACCTGAACTGAGTTCTCCAGGTAAACGTCTTGTGAAGGACTGAGGTTGGAATCAAGGATTGGGGGGAAGGTCAGGCGTTGTCCTAAAATGTCCCAACATTTTACTCAGCTGTCATGGGACGTTGGGGAGAAATATTTACATGTGGGCGTTTTTATGAACTTCATCAAATGTTGCAATGTAAATACGAGAACATTTCTTCCTCCTATTGTCTCTTATGCTACAGAACATAGAATTTAAAAAAGAAATAATTCACAATTGGTTGATGATAAATATGTTTCTGAGAGCATCGCATTGGGAATTGTTAATTCACAAGTCAATGTTGTTTCTGGGTCAAACTAAAAAGCATAAAAAGCATTTGAACACACAGACCCGTTGGGATCATGTTCTGCTCCTCAGGTTTCCTCTACCGGAGCGTCGTGCCAAGTTAAACAAGATCAGGAACGTTTGTAAAGATGCTGACAGATGATAAATAGACATGCATCATGTGCAGCAAAAAGAAGCGCCAAACTGGAAGGACAGAGACAAACGTACAGAGGAAGTGGAGTTATTTAGCATAAAGTTGTTTATTATGTGTAATTCCTCATTATTGAGGGCCACAAACTGCCTTTTTATGGTTTCATTGTAGAAGACAAAAAGCACTGAAGTATGTAGTTATTTTTTTTTACTAGTTGTAACATGCTGCATCTTATAGATTAGAGCCACAAAAAGTACAAATACTCAGCAGCAAATAAAAAATGTGAGATTTCAAAGTTACACGTCCTTTTCTGTTCATTTAAAACTTTGAAAAAGTCCAATCTTGTTCTGTTGAACCCACAGCATTTTGTAAGTTTTGTAAACAGAGGAATGCAACAGAAATGCTCGGAAACACAAACACAGTGACTGGTGCTGCTGATATAACCGATAATGTGCCATAAACAGCACACTGTCCCTCTGTGATTCTTAATGTTTGGCACCCTCATTCAGCTGACCTTATTTTTGACCCTGACAATGATTTTCATGCTTTTTGTTTGTTTGTTTGTTTGCTTGCTTATTGATGTCCAACTTAAACTTGTGGCGTGAATAAAACGGATTGCTGCTAATCTGTTTTCACTCTAATTTTCAAAAAGCATTCTTCAGAAAATTAAGAAAACTGATAGGACATAGTTTACTGCTCAACAATTTACAAAAATCTGAACTTTTACATACGTAGTAAGTAAAGAGTGATACAGTTTCAGTGTCACGAGTGAAAAACCTGGGGAAATACCAACCCACATTAATTTTACCCTGTTGGTTAATGGCTTTGTTGTGCATCTTTGAGGCTGAAAGGGAAATGACGTTGCATGTGCTTTTCTCTCATGGCTCTGAACACAAACCTTTGCTGCACTCTAAATTAAGAGAAGCTTTATTTTAAAAAGTTTACATTTGTGAATTGGAAAGCATCAGACTGTTCCGCCTTCATTTGCACTTTTGTCCTCAAACGAATCACCAGCAAACACTCATTTAATTTACCATCTCCTTTAACTTTTCTCTCGCTTTTACTCACTGCCATCACATCTTGTCTTTTCACAAGTTTTGCAACCTTTCCTGTACTGTTCACACATACACTGCTTTCTGTCTGACGGGAGGTGAACAAGTGTAACTTTGTCCTTTTTAGAGGCACATTTTTTATAAAATTCATCAACTGCAACATATTTATACAACTCAAACAAATGGTGGAATATTTGGCTTTCTGGTGAAATTTATAGAGAACTTGAAAGGTTCCATTACAGAGTCATACATCATGAAAGATTTGTTTTGTTAATGCAGAGGCTGGATTACTACAATCAATGCTACAAAATAAATTAAAAACATTAAATGTTCCCATTTTTTTTCCTCACTCTTCAATAATCATCCTTTCATTTAGCACAAATGCTGCCACATGCTTTCAGATTTTAGTTTGCAATGTGGTGGAAAATCCACCCAAGTATATTGTGAATTTCTTAATCTGATGTTGAATATTTTACAGAAAAGTTTATTTAATCTCATCAGTTTGGGTTTTCTGCAGCAGTGTCCTCCATCTTTGGTCTTTTTCTTGTATTTCACTGGCAGCCAATCAGAAAGATGGAAATGAAAATTTGGAAAATAAAGATTTATTTCATTAAAGGCTGCTTCTCTTTTCTTCATCTTCAATAACATATATTTTATAAAAATGAAATGGATTACATTTATAAAAAGAAATCAAATTTCTAATTTTTAAAAATTTATTTGATTCCATTTATTTTGTTATTTTTATTTCATTTTTTTTCTAATTTTCTCTCCAACTTTCTGAGCCGCCATTCTGGCTCCTGAAATGTAGCTCGTCTCATTAACTTCCTCTTTAGGGGAAAACTATTCCGGTCCAAGTAATGAAACATTTAGTGATGTGTATTAAAGGTTTGGAGGTTACATCAGCATCTCACCAGGAGATTTCTGATATATCTTATTCTAATGTTTTATTCTCATTAAACACCATGAGTAATTTTTATAAACTCCTCAATGATTAATGTTGTTCTCCAGAATCAAATCTAAATGGCTGTAAAAATAAAACTCATGAGGAGAGACAAGTGGGAGCCGTGCAGCTGCACAGAGTCAAACATTCACTGTTGCTTTAACTGCTGCGCTCCATCTCTAATGCACTGAGATATGCATCAGATTGATAGGAAAACGAGCAGTGGCAGCTACAAAACCTCTTAAGAGCTTCAATTTCTCCTGTCTCCATCTTCCTTCATGTAACAGAGCGTGGCTACTATGGCAGACAAACTTTAAACTAAATACAAAAGAAAACCAACACAAGCAAACTGTTTAGAAAATACTTCTTACTGATAAAATATTTGTTTTCTTCATATAAAGCTCCTAAAGTCATTTTTGCAGTTGTTTTTAAATGGACATTTCAGTTGACAATTTTTGCAGCTCAAAGTCTGACATGGTCACATATTTAGCCAAATGACTTTGTGAAATAATGTCATGAAGCTAACAGTAGCATCCCTAGTTTATGAGTAATAAATGTTATAACTGAATATGTGACCTTTTGTCAACGTCAGTTTAGATTCAGAAAAATACATTAATCTTACAATTTCTTCAACTCAAAATTTCAACAAGTTCTTCAGTTTTTTCTTATAAACATTTACAAAATGTTTACTTTTTATTCAGAAACCAGAGATATTTATACCAATAACATTTCATATTGCCGAACAAAATGTGTAAGATCTGCGTCTGTAGTTGTAAAGTAATGAACTTTTTTCACATTTCAAATAACTGCTTTTATAATCTGCTTGTTGTGAGACAAATGAAGTTGCTTTGTGGCTGAGCAGATTTGATACCTGCAACAAACTAAAAATTATAATTCTATCATATTAACTTAAGTTTGATTTCTCTTTATTGACCTGTTATACATCAATTATGATGATAAACCAATTTGTTTTTGTCAGATAACAGGATGCTTTTATATTATATATAAAATCACTTTACTTCTGTACATGGTATAGCAGTAAAGGAGGAGGGAAGGAATGCATACTTGTTGTTTCTTGCTGTGAATTTAATTTGGCCCACAGGGAGACCAGGCAGGAATGAAAGTCACATCTTTAATCATAACTTATTTTCTTCTCTTTTCAAAGGACAGCAGTCTGTAAAGCATCAGATCGCTGGGAGAAAAAAGGAAGAAGAGGAGACGGAGACGGATTGTGGGCATCTTGCATCTCTGGCATTATGCACCATCAGCAGAAATAACAGACCTTTTGGACATATAGAAAGTTTCACATGTTTTTTTGTGGTTCTTGTTGTTCACTGTGGATTTTTGTGTCACGATAGTTTAGTCCAAGTATTCGTACATTTTAAACCTTTTTACATTGCGTCTCTTTGCACAGATTGTAGCCTAAAATGCCTCATAATTGTGAAATGAAAGGAATATAGTTTATGTATTTATTTATCCTCACTTAAAGAGTAATAAACAAAACAAAAATAAAAGATCAGAACACAAAGGTTACAGTGTGTGTGATCAGCTGATTGGTTTAAGTTCAAATAGCTCATTTTGTTCTCAGCCAGGTGTGGCCAACTCTTGTTCCTTTGTGTCCTGCTTTGCCTGATTCGACACACCTGAATTAAATGAACGATTGTCCTGAAGGCTTCAGAAATTCATCCTTTCAATAATTACTTAAAGCTCCATCCAGGTATTTGTGGATACACCTAAAATATTTAACATAGCAACTTTCATGGGCTGAATGTGGCCAACCAGAGCGAATCCCCACAGCATAATGCTGCCAACATCATGCTTCACCACAGAGTGAACAGATTCTCCAACTTGTTCACAGTTAAGCTGGTCTATCAGTAGATCTAATTTCATGTTATGTAAGTTGACCTGGTGTTTTAATAAAGGACTTCACCCTCATTGGAAGTGATTCATGTCAAGCTTCACACTTGTTCTTCAAATGGTTAATGATTGAACTGATTATATATTTACTCTACTACAATTAAAATGCTTCTGACTTTTATTAAGGTGCAAATTTCAAAGTGTGATCTACGTCACGTACGGCCATTTATTTCTTACACAATGGATACTGCAGCAGTTAATACCAAAGAAATAATTTCTCATCAAATGTTTGTCAAGCTTCCACAGCGACACATTTAAGATAAAGTTTTTCTTTATCTTACTAGATGTACACTGAATAAAAGATGTTAAAACATTTTCTTTGTCAAAATGAGAATTTCTACTGGAAATGTTGCACCATTAATGTGTTTTAAATTTTATTTATGTTTATTATAATTTTCCATATCCATCTAATAAAACATAATACTGGAAAACTGGACCAATAAAAGAAATTAATGCACAAAGAAAAGTATGCTTAATATTCAACGCTGTATTTTTAATTTAATAAGCCTCAATGAAACACATGCTAAATTACTGCATAATTACAGGAATTACTCTTTGTCCATAAAAGAAAATCAATGTGGACAATGTGGACAAGTAACGTCTGAACAAGTAACTTTACAAGTTTTGCATCATTCTTTTAATAAAATGTTGAATCTTTCCATGTCAGCAACTCATGTAGATTATTTGTAAAAACGGGCTGCAGGTTGATTATCTTCACTGATCTGGGATTGACTTTGTAAGTTTCCAGGAAGCTGGCTGGTCGAAGCCACCATTCACTGCGCTGAAAGACTTACAGAATGTATAATAATTCATAATAGTTCTATTGTCATAACATAAGAGTCTCAATTCAGGGGGATCTTTCACAATGTTTCAACTAAAATCTTTACAAAGGTTTTAGTTGCACTGAGAAATGGACTTCAAACCAGAGATATAAACTAAATGCTTTCAGTGTTTTCATGTTGGATTTTATATCTATAAATAATTTATAGATAAAAACTGAATTGATTTTAATTTAATAAAATCTCACCAAATACTCTTGAATAAGACAAAACTAACTTACAGGTAACTTTTCAGAAAGAAATGGGAGCTTAATTTAAGTTAAAAATTCCTTAATATTGATGAGAAATTTCTAGTTTTATATCACTTATAATATGAGGAAAATGTTTTGTTTTAGATGAAATAATCTGCCAATCAGCCAGAGGTTTTTCATCCATATTAAGGTCACGTATGTTAAGACGGTGGAACCAATCACAAAGGACATTTCCACCTCTTCACTGTAAAACATTTGAGCCACTTTGAGTTCTGTTTACTCTCTTTTTCTCTTTAAATAAAATAAATTTAGCAAGTTTTAGATTTTGAGCCTAAATGTGAGTTTATGAAAGATAAACTGCATTATTAAAGAAAATGTTTATTTTAATGCAGTTGGAAGATAATGTTCTGTTAACACTAAATGCTTCTGAGCAGAATTGATTGGGATGTTTAATAACATTTATTACCATATCAGAAGTTTTGTTCATGCAATTTGAAACAAGAATTTGAATTAATCTAAAGTAAAATTATTATTTTAATTTGATATTGTGAAAGAAATGTATCGTTTAAATTGCAGCATTAAGTTAAAACTCACAATTTAAGATTAACAAACTTGTTTAAACTTTTTTTTTTTATCTCTCGTTAAATCGACTTCATGAACTTTATTTCTGAGTTAAAAACAATGACATTTCTGAAATTACATTTCTGTGGCACATTTATAATCAAGTTAAAACAGCTTTAAATGTTTTAAAGTGTTTGAACTGCTCATATCAGGGTACAGAATTAAAAACAAAGATAAAATAAAAACTGCTTTTTCACACAGCGGTGCCAATATGTGACATTTAAAACCTATTTCTTTAGCTTTTTTAATTCACTGGATAAGAGACATTTTAATTTTTACAGTAACAAAAATGTTGATTCTGATTTAAAATGCCAAATAGGAATGTTCTTATTATGAATAGTGGAAGTGAGACACCTTTGTATAATTTATTATGTATAAGAACATAATAAAAATAGAGCTTGCCCCGTTCTATTCATTACCTGCAGTTTTGAACATTGAACATTTAACATGCTCAATATTTCTGAATGGTTTACAGAACTGTTTAAATTAAAATTTAACAACCGTATCCCAAATATGATTAAAAAAAAACTGTGGCTTTTACTGTCTTATTTTGAGTTAACATCATCCTGAGCAGTTTTGTAAAATCCACTTATGCTTTGCCTTGGTTCAAGTTTATGACTTTGAACCACAATCAGGTGAGCAAACTGATAAAAATTGAATTATTTGCAAAATGTAAATGGGGCAGAAAGCAATGCAGGTCCAAAACAGAAGTTTATGTATCAAACAAACGTCTGCAGGTGCAATGGCACTTTGGTATCCGTTCATATAAACTGACATTTTTTTAGGGTCTCTTAATTAAAATGTTTTTTTTTTTGTTTTGCTTCAAAATATGTGAAAAGATTAAATGTGATTTATTCACTCAAGATTAATACTAGTCCTATATATTTGAACATGGCTTAGTTTGTGCATATTTTTAGTTTATGAACTAATTGTTCAGTTTTAATCCATTACAGTCAGGATGAGGTAGAGCTCATCCACGGTTCATCAAGGTGGGATTCTTATCTCCTTTTCTTCGACCTTGCCGTGAGTTACGACCCGGACAGTTCTGATTTCAACTCTGGACCTGCACAGCTTCAAATCTGAGATACAAAGGTGCTTTATTCTTCAGCCTCCTTAGAAGTGTGAATATTTTGGATTTGTGGTTTTATGACCAAGAGAGTCAGCTTGGGAGTTCCATAATTCACTGCCTCTCAGCAGGTCAAAGGTCATTCCGTGGTCCATGCTGAGCAAGAGTCTAACGAAGATTTGCTGAAAGAAAAAGGTATTAATTTCCTCGGCCTTCTCCTGTAGTGTGCTATATTTAACTAAACTTTAGAGGAAATAAAATACAGTCTAACAGGAACAGTGTGTGCATGTATGTCTAAATGCAGCCACTTTGTATAAAGGGAAAACAGGAAGGCAGATTGTGACATTCTGCACATGAGACTCATGGTGTTCTTCACAGATGCAGCCTGGGGGAAGAAACTGCCTCAATAATCTTTATACATAGCATTGCTCTGGAAGGAAAAGTCTGTATGGTTTCTGTCCAGAATGTGTGGGGTCTGCAGAGATGTTGGCAGCCCTTTTTCTGACCCCAGTCTTGACCAAATGGATAGAGGGAATGTTGATCCTCTCTGCTGACCAGATGGTTTAATGCACTTTAACAATTCATTAAACTTAGCCTTTACCTTGTATTTTATATGGCACTTCTTTAAGTTTTTGTTTTTGTCCTTTAGTTGTTGTGACGTCAATGCTTTTTGTGATATCTGCATTTACTGGATGCACTTTGGGAATGTTATGTTTCACACCATGCATTCAATCACGCCTGCAAAAACACAAAACCTTATTCAAGTATTTTTGGTCTGGTTTCTAGTGCAAACATGCTCAACATTTAGAGACTTGTTTTAAGTCAATAATTACTTAATATTGATGAAAAAGTTCTGGCTCATTGGTAGATTATTTCACTTTTAGCAAAACATTTTTCCCATGTTATAAATTAATTTATCTGCTAATGAAACTAGTACATTTCATCAATATTAAGGAATTATTTACTTAAAACAAGCCTCAATATCAAGCTGAAAATTTGTTTTTAAGTTAGCTTTGAAGATATTTGCACTGAAAACTAAGTCAAATATATACTTGATAAGATTTTGCAATTTAAAATAAGCTAAAAATGTCTTTCTTCCTTTCTTTCTTTGTATCTGCATTTTGGATCGTAGGTGATTTGCATGGAAACATGAATTTCAGTGTAATCAGCTATGATACAGGGCTGTCATGCCTGCCGGTCTCTGGGCAGGCAGCGTCTTGCATAACCTCAGATTTACTGCTTGAATGTAAGAATCTTTATTGATAGCATCACTGGTACCTCCTGCTGATTTTGGAGATGTCGCTCTGCAGGACAGCTGAAAAATATGATTACTTGGTGTACAGATAGAGACAAACCACAAAATATAAAAACATACCATGTAACATAAAACCAAGCAGATTTTAAAATACAACTATGAAAAAAGTTTAAAACCTTCAGAGTTTGAAACCCTGTGATCATTTTGTAGTGCAAAATTCAAAAACATTCGACAGACAACATTTGTTATGAAAAACAACAGCAAAGCATGCAAGAAGCAAATGTATGAAGATAGTACCACCGTCATTTGGGACAGAGCAGCTTTTGTTAGAGGAAAACATCTATAAATACTCTGAGCACCTATTTGCATTTTGCATGTCAAGATAGAATATTGTCACTGTGTTCTGACATTTAGCACATTGTGTGTTATTATTTATACATTTTAAGGAATATTATTCAGATTTGGTTATATTTGAGTTAATGATTAAATTGCTGGAAAGCCTTCAGTTTTGGTCCAAACTGATCAGACGGCTTCCAGGAAATGCCCTGTTTCTCCTCCTTTAGCTCCAATGAAAAGCTGCAGCAAAATCACGTGACTTATAATAAGTTGTGTTTACACAGAAAGCAATCCAAGAAAACCAGCTTCTGCCTTTTCAGACATTTACAGCTCAAAACTGAGCGGCTGAGAAGACAAGTGTGAATACTCCATGAAATGCAGCTGGCAGTCATCCACAAACATCCAGACAAACTCGAAAAGTTCTTTAGCACAAATGAAAAGAATGTGTTCTCTAAATAAGGAAATATATCTGGTCAGACATAATTACTTTTTTCAGCTGCCATTCATTCCCCTTAAATGTTGCATGTTTGTCACCTTATTGTGCAACAGCAGTTTTTCTTGAACAGCCTCGGGGTTTACAGGGGAACCCCACAGGAGGAAGAGAAACACATGGAGGAACTGTGTGTTTTGCTGCATATTAGCTGATAATGAGCGATTTAATTGTTACATAAGAAGCTCTGCTTGGTATGTAATTAGTAACAAATATCTTTAAGGCTGTCGTTTTAAATGTGATTGAAGATTCCTCCACTGTTTTAGAATACAGTCCATCATCTGCATGCTGTGCACTTTTTACTTAATCAAATGCTACTTCTATTATTTTGAGTGCTAATCTACATTATATTCTTCATCGGTAAAACATACAAAGTAAACCAAAACATCAGAGAAAATACTATTAGTTTTCTGTTACATATAGAAACTCAATAGTCATTCATATTTTAAAACATTTTTTATTTTGTAAAAAACACACAAACACAAATATATATACACTATTTACAAATGCTTTAAGC